TGCGATGCACAATTACTTCATTTTTTCTTTTTTTTTTTTTTTGTCAAAATGCGAGAGAGACTCGCTCTTTCGGAAGACTTTCCGCTCGCGGGTGCGCAAGTTGCTACCTCGTCGCCTAACTTGTTGCTATTCCCCGGTACGTTAAAATACATACAATTCCAACATATTTGTCGAATTTAGAACTCCGACGAGACGACTAGATGCTGACGTCTCATGAGCATAAATCACATTATACGAGCTGATAAAAAGAAGATACCATCGAGAGAAATCGCGGTAAATTTCGGCGTATAAGCGGATTTTAATAAAATTATGCCTCGAGACTCGCAGTTTTGTTTTTACTTCGTGAAATATTTACGAGGCGATGCTACTTGATACGGAAGGATAATTTGGCAATGAATGTTTTTTACCGCAACGATTTATCGCTGTTGATCTTTCCTACGTCGTTGTTTCGCATATTAAGCATGACACATCGAGCTTTTTTTTTACAATCCATCCCCGCCATGTCGTTTAACTCTAATCTCAGCGTGCCACATCTATCTATTCGTGTCACGATGATATCTACGATCTAGAAAGAGAACGAATTCAGTTAACTCCAATTAAGGTTAACCGGCGTCGGAGGAATCGATTCTCGAAATGAATGTCACAGTCGCGGTTCTTTTATTGGCTCGCCAATCGCTTCGATCACGCGAGATCGCGCGCGCGCGTTACGCTCAAAACACACGGCGCGAGTTTGCGGAGTCGTTCCCCCGAGCAAATTGCGGTACGTACGTTTCTCGTCAATTTTACACGCTACGTTTCCTGCGCGTAACTTCGCCTCGGGCAACGTAATTCACGCGGAGTAAGATAATCACCCTTCAATATCGATACAATCAGAAAGCTCCCCGACATAATTGGAGCTCGCGAAAACAATGCGATTGAATTCAACGATGGGAAAAAGTTCCGACTTCATGGAGCACGAACGATTTGCGTCCGTTAAGACAAAGAAATATTTAAATTAAGAACGAGGGACTTGGCCCACAAGTCTCGATCCGATTTGTGAGCGCGCTTGTTCGCGTCTGCTCCGCCCGCGAAACTTTCCCGCGGCACTTTCCTCCGAGGAAAGAGCCTCTCGGACTCTCGCGCATCTACCGAGCATCGGCGAAGATGACGACGAGAACAAGACGGACAAACACGCCGTTCGGCTCGGGCTTCAGACTTAAAGTCGCGTTCACATGCAGACGACGGTGCGCGACGGTGGGTGGCGACGGCACGCCACCGTGGCGGGAGAAACGGCCACTTGGCAGGGGAATAATAACGAGAGCCATACGGACACAACCGCAGCGTGCAAAGAGAGCCGGACGAGAGCGAGACACGAGAGAGAGAGGCTTTATAAATCGCGGGGATGCACGTCGTAGCAGTGACACCTCGGCCGACGACGGTGAAAAACGCGCGACGCGATCGACCGCGAGTGCCGGGCGCATCTTTCACGGCTTGACGCGCCAAAGTGTCGAGCGAGGCGGCGCGCGGGGCCGCGATTAAAGGGACGCGCGAACGAGATCGGAAAGTTCCCCCGGCCGATGATCGACGACCGTACTTTTCTCGCGAAGAACCGAAGAGAGAACGTCTTTCGCGCGGGTCTCTTCCCCCCTCTCTCTCTCTCTCTCTCTCTCTCTCTCTCTCTTCTCTCTCTCTCTCTCTCTCTCTCTCTCTCTCTGCCTCTTGCTCGGAAGGGGTTGAAAGCTCGACTCGAAGGGTGCTCTTCGAAATTGTTTTGTGTTTCATCATCTTGCCCGGTAGCTCGAGGAGACCAAATAAGCCGAGACAACGAATCTCGCGGGGCTTTCACGTGAAGACGTGAAAGCGTTCGCGCATTGCGGGTGGTAGTCGACATCTCGCTCGTCGTATCGCCGCGGCGTGATCGTGCCCGGTCGGGTGGTAGGTCGTTCACGTCGGATGCCGAACCTGGCCGGAATTCGCCATTCTTCCCTTCGAAGAAGGAGATTGGGAGATTCTCGGACGCGAGAGCGGTCGACGCGCTTCCGCGGTCGCAGTCGCGCATCGATCCGTTGCAAATTGGATTGCCGTCGCTAAAACTGCCCAGCGACAGTCGGCCAAGCCAGCTCGGAGTCGGGCGGCTGGTTTCGCGTCTCGGTTGACGTTGACATCGACACCGAGTTGTTCTGCGAGTAACGAGGGTGCGAATTTCTACGCCTCGTTCTGCAACAGCGCGTCGGCTAATTCGCCGCGAAATAGAAACGCCGTCGCACCTGGAATGCGCCACAGACGAGCGTAATCGAGGAAGCGTGACCGTGAGAGGCAAAGAGAGAAAAAGACAGACAGAGAGAGAGAGAGAGAGAGAGAGAGAGAGAGAGAGAGAGAGAGAGAGAGAGAGAGAATAGGGACACAGAGGAAAAGAGAGAAAGAGAAGTGCACGCGTGCAGGTCGCGTGTGCACGGATGAGACTTGTTAGCGGAGGATCAACCGGAGCCGCTGGACGCGCTGATCGGATCTTGAAAAGCGAGTGAGTACAATTCATACGTTCCGACGAATGTGACGGCGACAATTTTGCGATATTTTGCGTTTATTTTTGAAAATGGGCCGCGCGGAGCCGGAATAATGCAACGTTGAAACTGGGAGAAGCGTGGAGAAAAAATGTGACATTAAATTCTTCGTGTTAATTTCATATTCAATCCTCGCTATACCGGTCTGCGGTGTTTCAACCGAATTCATCGCGGTGAATGAAACTGTACGACAAGTCGATAATCAATTCGAAGTAATTGATGAAAATCGCCGCCTTATCGACGGCTGCTTGTTTACTCGTTACACGGAGCTAATTATACGCGAAAGGCATTTGTCAGCATTTTATTTTTAAAGCGGCGATTAGGGCGGATAAATTTGTACACATTTATCTCGAGTGCGTCGCGTTGTGTGTGAGGCCGGCGTATGACTGACAGCGATAATGCCTCCGCCCACGAAGGTTGACTTTACTAGAGAGAGGGAGAGACGGGGAGAGGGGGGGGCAGAGGGATTTAATAACCCCTGTGTGAGATCGGAGTCCGGCATGATTGCATATGATTAAATGTTCGATGCCGCGACGCGGCTGCCGGTCTTGCTGCGGCAGTCGATGCTCCGCGATGTCCAGGAATTTATAGGGGGCACTTTAATTACGTTATCGCAAATAGAGATCAATTGAAAATCCTATTAGAGCATTATGCAAATTTAATAACAGTTAATTAACAGGTATTGCGAAATTCGGTATGTATCGTCACGTACCGCTGTCGCCCGGCCGACGTCATTAACCGGGGTCGATATTATTAATCACCTCCGAGAGTTGACCGATTTTTTCGCTAATCACACGTTTCGCACGCGTTCCTCGTCGCGCGACGACCTTGACATGAATTAGGAAGAAACGTCGAACGCGCGACGAGCCGCGATAGAGACGCGCGGTTCCTTCGGGGTTATCCGACGCGCACGATAAAAGACTGCGCGCGCGCGCGCGCGAGAGAGAGAGAGAGAGAGAGAGAGGGAGAGAGAGAGGGAGGGAGAGAGAGAGAGGGAGGGAGAGGAAAATGTCAAGATGTTAGCTTCTCGCGTTACTTTTACTCGCTTCGTGCCGATGGGGTTAATCAATTCCTGGAAGAGGATAGTTTTCAGTTGCGTCAGGTGTACCCAGATCGTTCAGTTTAACAACCGGCAATTACTCCCGACACATCTCCTCCCTCTTTCCCTCGACTCGGGAACGATACGAGCGAATTAACTTCCGACTCGATTGATCCCGCCGGCGTTGTTCGCCGCGTCTATGACTACCGCGAATTAACGCCGCTAATCAACGACGGCGAGCGAGGGCAAGAGAGAGAAAGAAAGAAAGAGAGAAAAAGAGCCGTCCGTTGTTCCTTCCCCTCCTGCTCCCCCTCGTCATCGACGGTGGCTTCTCGCGAACCGCGAGGGAGCCTGTTTATTGAAATATCGTATTTATCGACCGTTATCGCCGTTATCGCGAGCGTACTCTCAGCGGCCGGTCTCTGGCCAGTTCTCGCATGAGTGAGATTCATAATTACGGACGCATAATTGCGACGGCAGAGTGACGCTCTGCCTAAGGCGACAATATCGTCCTGCGAAGCTGGACTATCGTGCACGATAGTCGTCGCCTAGAATGGTCGCACGAATCGACGAATTTTATCGTCCTCGAGAGACCGGCTTGCGTTTCGCAATTTTTCTCTCTCACCAAGTGCTCAATAAATTAAGCACGAATACATTAGGGAGAATTCAACAGTCACGGTTGGGAATGAGGAAGAGTCGACGCGCGCACACATGTGCTTACGGTTGCTTGACGAGTTGGGAATAAATACATCTGCAATACAAATTGCTCGATGAATTGAAATGAAACGTGCTAAGAAAGCGCATCTTCCGCACGCCTCAATCAATTAATTAAATCCGCGACGGAAACGAGAGGCAAGGAGCATCATCGCGTGCGTGCACTCACGCGTAGATACAAAAGTGCGATAAATTAAAAATTCCCTAGGCGAGACGCAAAGTCGCGAGATGTATACGTGAGTTCTGTCACGATGAAGTAGGTACCTGATTTCATCGTGAAAGAATCGATGACCCCGGCCGGTCTCGTTCGCAATTCGTCATTTCGACGTGCATGTTACATGACCGCGAGCGTGCTATTTTTGCATATTTTTCCCCGAAAGCAGTAATAAAAGACGAGAAAAAAGACAGAGTAGCATTCACCTACACATAAACATTGCTGTAAATTGGAATGCGGCCTGATTTGACGGGAGCTCGGCCGGAGGCCGGCAGACCATCGGTCGTTTATTTTTTCACGTGCCGATCGACAAATATACAGACGATCACGTCGAATACACGGCAGTGATTTCATGGACGCTTGCCACGGCTCGTTCCACGCCAGCCGCCGCTATTAAGTCACGACACATTCCCGGCCGTCATTGAGAACGTACGACGTTATGTCAGCAACGCGGACGAGCTCTGGCGGTGGCAAGGTCGCGATTTAATCGGTGACGACTTGTAAAACGATTCCTGCGAGGTTGCGTCAACGGAGCAACTCGTCGTCGTCGTCGTCGTCGTCGTCATCGTGTGAATAACGTCGTTACCGATCCCGACTCGGTTATTCATTTACAACGACAAGACGCTCGCGACGAGATGAAAGGACGCGCTGTGACGAGTCGTGTCTTATCGGGCGAAGGACGTTAACGTTGAGGCCACGTCGCGCGCTCAATCGAGGATCGGAGGTCGCGCGATTCGAGCGAGCGATATCGCGAAATTAGATTGACCTATCGAAGTGCGTCTCGTTAATGAGAATCAAGCTGTGTTAGGGAGTCGGCCGAGAGCGAGCAGCAAGCAAGTCGAGGAAAAAGCGAGACTCCGCCGTTCTCTCAACGTTTCCATTTCGCTCGCGAGCGAATCGCTCTTCTGCCGAAAAAAAGCGCTATTCCAGCGGTGTACGCAATTTCTCGAGAGCGTTGGGAGCGTTGGGAAAGCACGCGCGCGCGCATGCAGATTAACGGTGCATCGCGCGGCTTATCGACAGCCTGGCGTGTGCCCGGTCGGTTGAAATTTTCCCGACGAGCGAGCCGCCCGCGCGAGAAGCGCCCTGTGAAATCGACACAATAAATCCCCCCTCCTCCTCTGCCCGGTGACGTCGCGCGGCCGGATGCTCTTCCCTGTCTTCTCGGCGTCGTTTTATCAACGCGCTCGGTTACCGAGCCCTATCGCGGGTCGCAAAAATATTTCGCGCCTTGGACTTACTCTGCTCCTTCGCCTCCTGGCTGCTGCCACTCCTCCTCCTGCTCCGCTCCCTCCTCTTCTCCCGCCACCACCTCCTCTTCATCCGGGGATGCACGCTTATCGATCAGGGATGCACTGTGTGCAGCCGGGTAACGCGGTTACGTCGCGTATATAAATGCTAAATACCGACGCCACGTTTAGGAAGCATCGCCCCTTGAAACGGGGGTTCGTGCCCCCCCCCCTCCCAAAAACAGGAGTTAGCCTCCATTCGCCTCATGAGGCGACAGAAGGATGACAGAATAAGACTTGCCGCGCGGTAACAAGGTGATCATATAATGCACGTTCCCCAGCGAATCCCGCGTAATATCCTTCCAATCAGTCGATTAGACGCGCCAATTTTCGCGGAACTCAGAGGAAACGTTACCGTTCGTCACAATTCTTCTTTCAATTGGCAAACGATCGCGAGAATCGACGGAAAAACGCGGGATGTCGATGGGAAAAAAGAGGATTTCAATTCACACATTTCGGAACCTCTTCGTTTTCCCTGTTTACTATATTTGATCGCCGACAGTGTCTAGTTTCGCCCGCGGATACAAGTCGTCCCGAACGTTTCATTTCCAGCCACGCGGCTCCGTCGCTATAAATTTAAATTCGCGATATGTAGCGTATAGCTATATTTTATGTGATAGGGTCCGTATTAAGTTCGGAATAAATGTATGAGAACGCCGCCCCTTACTACCTTCGGATCCACGTCCAACCCGCGGGTTGTACGCTGCCCAATGAATATAAACATGCACCTCACAAACAAAAAAATTGTCAGGGGGTTGTTGTGGGATAAAACATTTCGTCGGAGCGACAGCACGCACAAAGACTGCGCGGTCCGTGTTGCATCCAACAGCGACAATAATGAAAATGGACTTTTCGGCCGCGGCGCGGGCGCGAAAGGAGGGAACGTTTCGCCCGTGCGAAACGCAGTAATATTTTGCGTTAATACATTTCGCGCTTCGTCAAGGACAAAGCACACCAGAGATGCGCGCTATTTACTCGCATGTAAGCTCACCCATTGCGAGAATAAATAAGAGCGCGGTAAAGCGCGAGAGCGACAATATTCGCGTAGTAGTGAAGTCCACGTGCGCCGGTCGCAATATACGAAGTGCGAGCGCAGCAACTGCGAGGGCGGAGACACCTGCGAGTGCAGCCCCGAGAACGTCCAATTTCCTCGATTGCGCGAGAAGCGAAGGGTTGTCTTCTCGTCGCGTTCGCGCGGCCCGCGCCGTAAGTCGACGTGCACGTGTCGAGAAATTTGACGAACATATCGAACGCGTCGGCCGGGATCGACCGCGAGAGTCGCGCGCCAGCAACGTCGCGGCCAATGGAACTGACCGATTAATTCCTGCGGTCGACCACGAGAGACACATTTGCTCCGGTTTCTTTTTTCTTATCGCATATAAAATATATATGCGCACTCTTCCTCTCGCGAGAAGAAAACTCTCGCCGATGCAGGTGATAATTAATACTATCTGTGAATGAGGAACGCGTATACCGTGTGACGCGCGACATTACGATCGATAGTTCGCGGCGAACTATCGTGACGCGCTTCGACTGCATTACACGTGTCTCCGCGAGCGAGAGAGAATTACCGCGATCGTTGTAAAAATAATCCGTTTTACGCGCAACTGAATTCTTTCGCGGCGCGTTTATTCCCGCGGCGCTGCGTCTCCCATTGACGACATAAATTGCGCTCTATGTAAATTTACACGTACTAGCTGCCGC